ATTTCGAGAGAAATAAAGGAAATGAGATATCCAAAAATCCTTTAGGACTGTTTGGTACGATGGAATATTTTTTTGTTCCCTGGAAAGTGACCATGACAGCTTGAAAATCCCATGTTTGGTAGAAGGGTGTTTCAAATTGGACCTGGAAAATGTGGGTTCCTGGAAATCGTTTAAACACATGAAAAGTTGAAGTTTGATTCCCCTTGAATGTGTGATATTTCATCATTCCAATGAAGTGAGTATCATATTTACTAAATTATTAGACAAAATTAACCCCCCGAAGCTTTCCGCCACTGACTGAAAAGTTGAGGTTACTTCCGTAAATTAAACATATATTTCCATTAATATTTTATCATCAACCAAACATATATACTCAGTAAAGTTATCCAATAATCCCGGTAATATTTATGCCTACTCAACAACTTTTTTATATTATTCCCGATAAACTCAATTTCTTATCATATTCCTAGAAATTATGATTCTCAGACATAAAAAAAAAAATTCTTCTACCAAATGCCCCCTTAGAGACGTAAGTACCTAAGCTGGAGGGGAAAATGTTGATTTGGTGGATGATTGAACCTCTAATATCAGTATCATTTTCAAGTCTCAAAGACTTAGACCATTGCGAATTGAGTTTCAATTTGGTCTTGTTTCTTTATCTTCGCTTTCTAAGTTAAAGGTCCATTGTTCAGCCATTGCCAAATCTAGATCTTAGATATTCCTTATAAAATTAAGGTCACTTTCGATGTCCATCTATTTTTAATCCACATGCTTTTTTTTTTTTAATTTTCCAACCGGGTCATTTTTTGGACTTTATCTGATTCGAGTTTTTATCGGACCCGATTAAAGGAGCAGCTCTTCTAAATCTTTTTTTTTTTTTTAAGGCTCGAACTTGATACCTCTAGTTAGGGGGCCCAAATTCCTTATCATCTGTGCCAAATGTGTTTGGTTAATCCACATTCTTTGATTCATTATAAGTTCATTATTTTGACAACAGTTCCATCTATCGGATCCCAAAATAAAATTTTACTGGGTAAACGGTGAAAATTAATTAGAGTGGTTTCATATATACATATTAAAAATAATTAATTTCATAAACTAAATCATAATTTTCCTGCATTCACATAGCATCCAAATTGGTCATGAGCCATGCATGCTCCCAGAAATACAAACTTTTTGGGCATGTGATGACCTACAGAAGTTTTGATGGTTGGATTGAGACAAGTTACATACGACCTTTTACTGAGCCAAGCATAAAAGAGGGTAAGAAATAACATCCAACGTGTACATGTTTATGATGGAATTTTTTTTCTTTTATCTTAGTTTTTTTTTTTTTTATTCTTTTTATACATGTAAGATCTAGATCATGATTTTAAATTGTGGTTGCAGCCAGTGCCTGTAATTCCGGGCATTGTGGATAACGTAAGATATATAGTGCAGTGAAATATTTTTATGTTTGCGTATAAGTTTATAATTATTGCAACTGTTAATATATTTTTTATTTAAAATATTATACAGGTTTTTACTAATTTTGTAAGAATTTGAATTATCTCAATGAATATTTTAAAATATCCTTATAACAATAATAATATAATTATCATTATAATTAATTAGCTTATTTATCTCAAAGTTTCTTCTCCTTTCCTCATTTTTTTGACTATTATTTTCTTTAAATTTTTTATTTTTCCTCTTCCCTAAAATTATTATTTCTCTAATTTCTTTCAAGACCGAAATTCTCCCACTTCCCCTAAAATTTTCACCCAGACTCTTCTCCAAAGGCCCAATCAGATTCAGGAAAACAATAAAGATTTTTATTGTTGCTTATATTATGATTAGAATATTTAGAAAATAGGAAAAAAATTATTTAATTTAAAAATCAAATTCTATGTTTGGGACCTTTTATAAAATATCATATTTGAATTGATTCAGAAATAAAATCTGGGTCTCATTACAAATGAAATTAATTTGATTTACTTTTACTAATTAAGCTAGCTATTTAGTAAGTGTAAAATAATTAATTATTTACACCCAAAAATAATAATTAATTCATATAATTATTTAAAATTAAATCAATTTCGGTCAAATTCTAAAAAATTTGGTAAGATTTGTAAAACAAAAGTACTGAAACCCATGAAATTTTTAAAAAAAAATTATTTTCTATTTTGTAACTTCCAAAACGCAGTAGTTTTAGTGTGGAAAAATTCGTTGATTGATTAAAGGGAAATGATAGTCTCATGGTACATAAGATACCTATCTCATGTCATAGATCCATAGAATTTTGTGCCAATTTTTTTTTTCTTTTTTCTTTTTTCTTTTTAAATTGTGGACCCCACATATTTGTATCACCCACATGAAAGTAGTATCTCATGTAACATGAGATTAATAAACCCCTTGATTAAAATGACATTTCTAAACACTTAACCATATACTAAATTATTCATTACGATAAATATCTTATAGAAGTTTTAGCAATGAGTTCAACACAAACAAAACTTTCAACGGATTCAAATTCTCTAGTTTATCTCTTTCTCTTCACTCCTATATTCTTAATGAAATATAATTAACTACATAAACAAACTACACATTTCTATTAGTTGATAATATACATAACAATACGCGGTTGAGAAATTGATGTCCTATGAATGTATATATTAAACAATCAAGATGTATAGTGAAATTTATTTTAATAATTTTATATTAAAATTTTCTAATATCCTCTTATACAAAAATTCACCAGGTGTGAAGAGTGAATAATATATACGTTCACCTATCTATACTAAGAAATTTCAAACTTTAAATATTTATTAGAAGAGTAAGGGCAGTGGGGAGAGGATGGAACTCAGGACCACTTGGTCACCGGCTCCGATGTAATATTAAACAATCATCTCTCCTAAAAGTTTAAGTAATTAACTGAATGTCAATTTAATAGTTAAACATATCAAATAAAATACACTTTATTTAAAAATCAAAACGTGAAAAATCAAAATAAGTTCTCATATTTTAGTTTGGGGAGGGTTATATTTATAAATTTTTTATTTACAAATTATATTATATACTCCGGAAGTACACTCGGTTATACTATATACTTCCGAAAATACGTAGTATAATTTGCAAAAATTTATAATTTTTTTTATATATGGATCCTTCCCCTTTAGTTTATAGACTTAAGAAAAGAAAATGATTGGATCCATACAAAAATAAAAAGGAATCAAAATGAAGAGTGGTCTCTCGAAATAAATATGATCAGGTACTGAATGCACGATCAATTGATTGCAAACAAAGAAAAGGAAAAAAATAAATGGCAGAAGTGAGGTGTGTGAGTAGGCATTGAACTCTGAAAGGGTTAGAAAACAAGATGGCTCTAACATAAACATCTTGATTGCAGTACTGCTGGCCCGCTTTCTTAAGTGCTTCATTTTAAAAACAGCATAGAAGAGAGTTTACAAAGAACAAAGATTTGATTTGATTTATGGAAATAAATTTGTCATCACGAAATGGAATTGTAGAAAATCGAGGACAACCTGTAAACCTTCTTAACTTTGAAAACAACAGGTGAATGAGCCAAAGCTAATCACTCCCATGCACACGTCCCTTTCGTTCTCCGTTCCCCCATCTCTGCCGCCTCTGCTCTCTCTCTCTCTCCTCTCTCTCTGTCTCCTCTTTCACTCTCTCACTCTCTCATACACACACACACACACATCCATTGGGAATGCCAACCATTCATTTCTAGGGTTTTTTTTTTTCCTTTTTTTTTTTTGGTTTGGAGAATATTTTCTACACAATACAATTTCTATTATCTTTATTATTTGTATCTGAATTAAGAGAAATGGACTTTAAAGTCCAAACCATCACTTAATTATTATAAACAATCACATTTTAATATTTTATTTTTAAAATTTTCCCATCAATTTCTCAGATCCCATTACAATTTCTATATTTTTATAATTATTAGAACTTAGACCTCTAACCTAGAACTGTAACCCAAAACATATAAATAAGAGGAATAACTTCATTTTCACTAAAACCAATTGTTAGTGTCACATCAACGTTTATAGTTAGTTTTGCTAGTAAGCAAATTCTTTTCTTATCCTTTTCTGATCGATGTTAACTTGTTTACGACACATCACTTGTTCGCGGAGTAATGATATATATAAAAAGAAGACAGATCATTTAATTTCAGAGTAAGATTTATAAGTTTTACTCTTATCTTAGTTATTGATTTCTGTTCATTCAATAGTTATAATTTAAGAAATTATATTAATTAATTAATTATTAATTATACTATAAATAACAACCATTGATTTTCATTCATTAATGGCGGAGATGAGAAGTAACACTTAAAAGTCTTACTTTAGAGTCAAAAGAATTCTCACCATATAAAAATTACACTAACAAAAATTTATAATTTTGCATCTCATGAATTCATTTTAAATCAACAGATTAAAAATATGTGAAGCGGCAAAATTTTGTAAGCTCAATAGTTTAAGATCATAAGGTTAACATAACATTACTTTAGAACAAAAATATGTAGCTAGGAAAATTATATATACGGTGGCAATCTAGCTAGACGCCTAGACCCTAGGTTTTGATCTACGCAAAAAGTAATAGATTTGAATTCTGATAACATAATTTATGAAAAAAGACACAAATCCAAAATAAAATTAGCTGAGTCTGTTAAAACTTCTTACACCGATTGATAACTGCTAAATTTTTTTATATATAAAAGATAACAAAATGGAGAGAGAAAGAAAATACTTTCTAGATGTATTCAATCCTTTATTACTTAAATGGCATCTCTCACATTCTCTCTCTTTCTATTTCTTTTATCTTTCTTTCTATTTTGTTTTTGGATACATTTATCTTTCTTTCTCTCCCTCTCCTTAACAGTAACTCAACAACCAAGAGGATCAGATCCATAGGAAGTTTATCTGCCTATCACCAAAATCACCACTGATCAGTCAATCCCATCAATCAAATCAAATCAAGAATCAGAAAAGAGAGAATCAACAAAAAGAGAAATATGTCCGCCTCATCCACTTCCTTTTCACCGGACCAACACCACCACCTCTCTCCCTCCGACCAACTCTGTTATGTCCATTGCAACTTCTGTGACACTGTCCTCGCCGTATAATATCACCCCTCATATCCCTTTCTATTTTTCTTATGCAATCAATGTTTCTTTCCCCTTTCATTTAATTAACCTTTTTCATTATTTAACCCTCTTCTTCAAATTCTTCTTCTTCTTCTTATTCTTTCATTTAGGTGAGTGTTCCTTGCTCCAGTTTGTTCAAGATTGTCACAGTGAGATGCGGTCATTGCACCAACCTTCTCTCTGTCAACATGCGTGCACTGCTTCTTACTTCACCTAATCAGCTTCACCTTGGCAACAGCTTCTTCACTCCTCAAAATCTTATGGTATATATCTATAACTATAATACTACTAATAGCTAGGGTTTTTAATATATATATATCATTTTTTTTTGTTTTTGTTTTTGGCTAGTTATATTCTCTTTTGCGTGAGAATTGAAAACTATAGTTGATTATGACTATTGGGTTTAATTATCAGGAGGAGATTAGAAATACACCATCAACAAATATGATGATGAATCAGCTTCCAAACCCAAATGATTTGGTCATGAGCACCATTAGAGGAGGGCCAGAAGAAACCCCTAAGCCTCCACCAGCTAACAGACGTGAGTATTTTCTCTAATTTCTTAACTTCTTCATTTGTTGAATAAGCTGTGATAGCTTTCATAATGAATCTTGTTATTTTTTATTTTTATTTTCTGACAATAAACCGAAAACCTAACCTGTTTTTCATGTTTTTTTTTTTTTTTTTTTTTTTAAAAGTAATTCCTTTTTTCTATTTCCCGGGTGTGGTAATCAGAGATTCTTCTGATACCACCAAAGAAAAGCTAGGAAAAGAAAAAGGAAACTCTTCTGATACCCTTCAGTTCATTTTTACACTTCTTTTAAGTTCATATTGGTGTCACTTAACCAATAAAAGGAGAAAAGCAAAAATAAAAATAAAAAATAAAAGTTCTATCCCTATCAAAACTAACTTGTCAATCTGAAACAGTGGCCAAGGTATCTTGGCTTCTCGCATTCTGCAAGTGGCAAAGAAAGAGCAATCTTTTGCACATTTATCTCATGCATTGCTTTTCCCACTTTCCAGTATAAATGTTTAGTGTTTCCAGAAAGCCAGCTTTAGTTCTTCAAATACATTATCAACATTAAACTTCCAATATTTTTCAATTTGAAACAACCCACTTACCACATTAAAATTTCAAACGGATGGAAAAAAATGAAATTCATAATTTTTTTGTTGTTAAGGGGAATTAAAAAAAAAAAAATCTAGAATTGTTAAAATCCTTTTTCTTTCTCTTTGCGTCTATACATGTCTCCTTACATGCACACATTGAGTGAGACAGAATTCTCGCCCCCGAAAATATAGTGCTGAATCCATTGGGAGAGTGATTGTTAAAGATAATGATGAGGTAATGATAGAAGGGAGAGAGAGAGAGAGAGAGAGAGTAAGCATTAGGGAAAAAGGTCAGCGAAGTGATTTAATGTTCCTGTCTGTTTGCTTGGAAATGTCCGTGTGTTGCATGTCCAGCTCCAGAGAAGAGACAGAGAGTTCCATCTGCTTACAACCGCTTCATCAAGTAAGTTTAATTATAGCATTAATTTCAAGTTATTTATTATAAATGCTAATTAATAATGAGTTTTCATTCATGGTTTGGTAACTCAAATTAAAAAAAAAAAAAAAACATAGTAACACAAACCCTTTTCATTTGTGTATTAGTATGTATTTTTGCTTATTTCTCTCAAATATTATAATTAAAATCAAGAAATTATTTAATTTCTTCACTTCAAATTTCAGGGATGAGATTCAACGTATCAAAGCTGGGAATCCTGATATAAGCCACAGAGAGGCCTTTAGTGCAGCTGCAAAGAATGTGAGATCCAAGGAGATTTTCTAAATCTTACTCTCTTAGGGACTTTTCCCATTTTAGATTATTTTCAAATTTTACTAATTAAAGAGTTTTCATTTTTGTTTATCAATCAAGTGTATATATATATATATATATATATATATATATATATATATATATGTCAAAACTCATTTTGTTGCCTTGTTGGTTACAAAATACTTTTTCTTCTCATGTGTGGGGTCCATTTTTTTTTTCTTTCAGTGGGCCCATTTTCCACACATTCATTTCGGACTTATGCCTGATCATCAACCCGTGAAGAAAGCTAATGTTCGTCAGGTACTTAAAAACCCTAGCTACTGTTACCTCCTTTTCTTTTGGCAGCACATTTAAAGGAAGAAAAAAAAGGGACTCTTATTTCTAGGGTTTCTAATATCAAATTCTTCATTGTGTGTGTGTAGGAAGCAGAGGATGTGCTCATGAAAGATGGGTATTACGCACCGGCAAATGTAGGTGTCTCTCCCTACTAGAAAGTGTTTATTGTAGGGCATTGTGTGTAATTCTTGTCTCTAATTAAGTAATTATTGTACTAAGACTTAGTTTGTATTATGCATATTAATGTTGTGCACTTGTGCTAGTACTTCTTAGTTTTAAGAGTTGTTAGTTAATGCTACCGTGAATGATGGGAGGGGATTCTTACGAAGCTTAGAGATTAGTTCTTTTGAAAATGAAGATGGTATATTTTCTGTTGAACTGGTCCCAAGATGAATGACTTCGGAATGTAGAAAGCTCTTGAAAGTTTACAATATTTGGAATTTTTTTAATGGTTCTTGTTAATATCCTTCATGAAAATTTCCTAATTATTTAAAGAAGAAAGTATAAATGTTTATTTTCAATTTTTAAAGTATTCAATGTTTTCACTTTTTATTTAATATATCATATGTCATTTTTTCTACAAAAATCCCTTTTTCAAATCATAACGAATCAAAGGTTTTCAGAAATGAATCGATGTAAAATATGAAACTTATTGGTTAAAAATTAATTTGACATGGTCTTAATTAGAGCTTTTATTTGATCAAGTGGTGAAATAATTTATGTAGATTTGTCTCCTTTCCACCTCAGTTTAATGGAATAAATTTTAGTATAAGGTCAAGGTGGTATTGTGATTTGTCTATGTTCAGGCTAAACTTATTTTCACCTGAGGTAGCATTTTTGAGCTAACGACATTCATGGGTCTTGGTCCCATTCTTTTAATATTCTAGGTCATTCAGTTACATGAGAAAAATGGATGAGATTTGTTCAGATTTCTTTCCAAATTCGCATAAGTTGAAGTACATATGCTTCATTTTATTTTATTCTATTTTCACTAAATATATGCTTTATATTTTTATCCACTGAATACTCTTCAATTCCTTCGTAAACCCAAAAGAAAAAAGGTTCAAAGGCTTTCCTAACTTGGAGAAAAGATTTGTGGACGTTATATCTACAAGATAATTACATACTAAATTTTACCCGTGATACTTATATTGATCCTTCCATTTGAACAAATGAGTAAGAGAAAAATATGTACGCTTATTCCCTAGCTAAGATAAAACTTCCATAATATGATGATATTATAAAGCATTTCATATGTTACTACTTACAAGAGGTACAAAATGCTCAATGCTCAAATGTTACAGACCTTTCTCTGTAAGATACTCTGTAGTTTATGTCAATGTTGTTAAAATTGAGATCTTAAGTAAAATTGGATGGGGATTAAAAAATCGTAAAACGTAAAATCGTAAGGTAAACAAATCGTAAAAAATCGTAAAAACGTAAAAGCGTTTGGAATATTAGTAAAATCGTTTTGATAAAAAAATCGTAAAAACGTAAAATCGTAGTTATAAATCGAGGTTTTAACAATAATGGTTTATGTAGTTAATTTGTAGAAAACTTTGAAATTCAAATGTCTGTCTATTAGGGGGCGTTTGGTTAGGGAGAAATTTTTATGAATCATAGGCAAATGTGATTAGTGGGGAAATGGGTGGAAAGTGAGTTTGGTGGGAAAATGTAAAAATAGTTGTTTGGTTGAAAAATATTTTAGTAGGAAAATTAGGTAACTTTTGTAAAGTCTACGTTTGGCTGATGATAAAATATAGATAGGGAACTCAGTGCACAGTTACGAAAATAACCTTCTTTTATTAAATTAAACAATGTGGGCATCGTACCCTTTTGTAAACAATGAGGGTGAGCTGGTCTTTTGTTAGTCTGAACAGTGACCAAATAAGACTGCTTTTCTAGAATACCACTCGGCCATGGGGCAACTTTCGCTGGCTAAATGGTGTTGGAAGTCTATGCTTTTTGGTTATCTACGCAACTGATTTAGCTGACATAGTAAGAAAAATAGTCCAACCAAACGTGAGCAAATTAGATGCCTTGCTTTCATTTCTCCATCTTTCTTCAAGAATCCATAAACCAAACGCACCCTTAGCGCCGTGGAAATGGATTAAGCATTGCCTTAAATTACACAAGCCTTTATATATGTCAATAAGTTTATGATTTCAATATATTATAATAAAAAATTAATTTAATAACAATAATATATTACATATACTTGCTTAAACAAGCCAGCTCCTGAAATATGATCTTTTTAGCTAAATGGATATTTGAAAAATATTTTAACAGGACAGGTCAAGTTCTCAAGGGGACATCTTATTATAACCCTTAATTACTTTTAACCAAAACAAACACCTTAATTTGTTATCATCTTTGAAACAAAATATAATAATTTGGGTTTTAAATGTTTGAAGTCAAGTAGTTTAGGTCATAGCTGTCCATTTGTGATAACCATCCAATTGATTCAAATCCTCAATCTTTTATACTTTCAAAGACGACAAACGGCTGAGTGGGATTGCGGTAAAGATCACAATTTATTAAATCCCAATATGTAAAGAGGAATAAAATATGGAGTACTCGGGTTAGATTTATATCATTTGTCAAATGCTTAATTCCACAAATAATTCACTTTAAGATGGAAATGATCCCAGATCAGTGTTTAAAAACCCGGCCCGACGATCGACCCGGTCAAGGTCTGGGGTCACGGGTTCAACCGGGGGATCACGGGGTCACTACGCCGACCCGATTATATATATTAAAAAACTATAAATATATATATCCTATATGAAAATATTAAAAAATAAACCACCAATCATCAAAGATTCAAAATATAATTAACATAATTCACCGATTACAACCACAAGTTAATGGGATCACTACGCTGATCTGATTTTGCCTCTTTTGAGAAGGTCTCTAACAAAGGAAAATTTAAAGGAAGTAAGAATGAGTTTTTGTTTTTCATCGACGACCATAAAGATTTCATTTGAATGGGTAAATTTTTACCTTTTCTAGAAGATTTATGGCAGCGAGGTGAAGATTGAAGAAGTGTAGGTCGCTGGGACTGGGAGAGAATAGAACGATAAGATTTAGGTTTGCAAGGATTTTTATTTTATTTTTTTAATAAAACAATGTCGTTTCATGGAATTTTTTTTTAAAAAAAAAAAGAAATATGCAATGACCCCCTTCGACCCGTCTGACCCGGGAGTCACTGAAATCCGACTAGGTTTTGGGGGTCAAAGGGATCAATGTGCATATATGATCTAACTTGTGACCCCAACCTTCAGAGGGGAGGAGTCAGGGTTGACCCGGGTCAACACAGGAGGTGGGGTGAGATTTTAAAACACTGTCCCAGACTATTAAGACAAACGTTTGGCTTATTAGTTGCAGAACAACTAGCTAGGCGACAAATTGATGGATAATTAACATTGGTTGGTAGAGATTCAAAATGTTAATTTTGTTGAAAATACTTTCTGTTAATATGACTTAAATTAGTAAGTAATTATATTAAAATATCCATCTTTTTATTTTTTGATAAATATCCATCTTTTATTTAAAACAAGGCTAAAATGCACCAAATTTGTCTTTATTTATTTATTATTTTTGGCTACACATCTTTCTATTTATTTGATTCGCACAAGAAATGCATCAATAATTGATTGTAGAGATTAAGACCTCAAATTATATTAATTGTTCTAAAAAACACCACTCGCCTAACTAACATTTAAGTTGATAATAGAATTAGTCACATGCAACGATGCTAAATACACGTTGCCACCACTAATCACGCAAATCAAGTGGCAAAAGATTGTTTCAACTTAATAAGTGGTCGAGTTTGAGTCCATGATAACATAATTGTGTTAAACAATGTTATAAAAATTGGGTCGGAGAGCCCGATTCAAATTAGAAACTAATAAACCGGTGTGTGACCAGTTTAGGTAACATAATGGACCGAATATGTTAGTGAGCGAGTGTGAATTGGGTTGAACTGGTTGGTTATTATTAAAACCGGTAACTCGCCGAGTCAATAAAAGTAAAATTGTTAATAAAACTTACCCATGTTTCAACATTTTTTTTGGGCATCCTTCGAGATTTTTTATGTTCACCTGCGTATCCTTCTTCACGATGGTGTTTTATCTTTCTCCAAAATCTTCTCTTTTTTATCCTGCGCCTTCTCTGAGTCATGGTCTAAATTATTCATCTACCCTCAATAGATGATGAAGAAAAATCCACCACTTTGATTGATAGATGAAGAATAAGAAAACTCCACCACTGCATAGATGAAGAAAAAGAAAAATAATCGACTTGGATAACAATAATCAACGATGGTCACTGGAAAAAGGAAATGACAGTTTTGATTTCCTCCCAAATTGAATATAGCTAGGAGAATTTCTCGATTTTCTATAAATAATTAATTAATTAATTAATTAGTGCATTGCAGGTAAGTTGCATTGGAAATTGAAAGGTTTTTTTTTTTAAAAGGAAAATTTAATTATTTTGAAATTACATTTATATTTCCATATTTTTTTTACGTACCATTTTTTCTTCTGTATCCTCAAGTTATAATCTGTAATCTTCAAGTTAGAAATTAAAAGTGTATATATCACAATCCACTATCAAAATCACATTTAAGTATCAAGCAGTTCTAAGTTTAAAATCGCATGTAAAACTTAAATTATTTACAATAAAATCAATATAACATAAATATAAAGGTATATTCGGTTCAACCACAAACTCACTGAGAGCTTGTTTGGTGTGACGTATAAGGCCTGATAGTATAAGCTTATACTATACGTTATGACATTTTCAGTTGTTTGGTGTGACCATCGTACAGTATAAGCTTATACAGCAGAATTTCTTAATACATCAAAACAATGTATAATTTAATCCGACTTAAGGGGGAGGGATAAGGCCTGATAAGATGTTGGTGTATTAACATCGTTGACCAGTGTAATTTTCAAAAATGAATATATTATTTTAATATTAATATATTAAAATAAAAATTAAATTTTCAATATATTAAATTTTAAAATATTGAATATTTTTATTTTTTTAAAAATTAATTTATGTTGTGGACACACTGTCCAATAAATTTTTATAAAAAATAATATCATATGACATTTTTTGAAGAATTATATAAATTCTTTATTAAAGGATA